AGTAAATTTAGACCAAAATACCTTGATCTCTGTAAKTTAAGCAATTTACTTTGCTTTCTCATTCTTAAAAATGATGATCTTGAAATTTGAAGAATCGTTCTGTTCTGTTTGGTTATCTCTGGAGATATAAGATTGTTCTCTAGCTCTTGGGTTAAGTTGCAAAAATTTGAGTTGGAGAATAAATTGGTAAACTAATGAGGTGCAGTGATTTTTAACCACAGCTTCATCTCAGAGCTACATGGAAGCATTAGAAAATAATTTCTGTATAGATTCCTCACCTAGAAAGCTGCTTCAGTAGTTCTGGGGCAGGACATGGTAATCAATATTTTTAAAGCTCCATAACTGATTCTGGGGTGTATGCTTATTCTTTCAAATGAGATCATGATGTAAAAGAYTGTTTTGTCTAAGGGCTGACCCTGGAATTATTTCTGAAAATCAACCTCTAACCTTTGTTTCTCAGATACATTTGCCTTTTACTTATGCTTCAGTGTATTACTTTCCTGTGGCTGCTGTAACGAATTGTCACRAGCTTGGCATCTAAAAAGAACAGTGATCCATTCTACCATGGTTTGGGGGCCTGAAGTCTGACAACATACTGTCAAATGGGCTGTACACCTCTCAGGGGGCGAATCTGTTCCTGGCCTTTTCCACCTTCTGGCAGTTTCCAGCACACTGTGGCTCCTGTCTTGGTCACTCTGCTCTCTCTATTCCTCTTCATGATGCCACCTTCTTCTCTGAATCCATCCTGGCYGCCTTCTTATAAAAAATTTGCAACTACATTTAGGGCCCACCCTGATATTCTCCCCATCTCAGGTTCTTTAATTTAATTAAATGGCTTAAGTTTTTGTAATATAAGGTAACATTCCAAGGTTCTAGTGATTAGGCCCTGGACATCTCCTGGACCTCCATGCAGGTTATTGCCTCTCTGTATGTATCAACGTGAGCTGCTGTAGCACCTCTCTCCACCTTGTCCCCAACTACCATGCCACATTGGTGGCACACCCTCCCTCTTGGGCTAGGCCAGATGACTTACCTCCAGTTGTATGAAGGGTTATTTACCTGAGCTGCAGTCCATACCCAGTTTTAGCCACTCAGGTGGCAAATACTTTGGGTCCTAAGTGGACTGAAATGTAGGATCATTGCAGCAAGCCCATCGACCTCACTCAACAAAAGCACCTAAAGCATGTGTCCTAACAGCAATGGCTCCTGTGAAAGCTCATCTTTGAAGAATAGAATCTTACRGTGACCAGCATGATCTGAATCAATTCTAAGAGGCACAAGCGCGTTTTCCTTTTCAGCATGGGCCTTCACTTAGCCAGGCACACACAGTACTGCCAAGTGTGGTCTTAGAAGGAGACAACGTAGTTAGTTGATAGTAAGCATGAAGAGACGGGCCGGGGCTGTACCTCAGGCAGGGTAGCATGCATGCCTTGTGTGCTCAAGGTTCTAGTTTCAGTCCCCGGCACCAAAAAAAAAAAAAAAAAAAAAAAAAAGTTTGTGAGTCAGAGTTTGTGAAAACCAAGTATGGGACCTTGAGGATTTAATTCACGTTGGGCTTCATTTTCCTCATGTATGCAAGGAAGTGTTTGTTTCATGAGCTCAGGCTCCTCTTAGCAGTTCCATTGTGTTGTTTCTTCTCTTATTAGAAAGGAGAAGAGGTGCCAGTGTGCAGATGCATTTATACAGAAGAGGCAAGAGGTTAAGATGGCTTATAATGAAGTTAAATGGTGAATATCTAGTGGTATCAATTTGTGCTATTAATTTTTTCTAGTATGGTTGAATAGGTCACAAATTGGGGAAGCTTTGCAGTCCAGGAAGGTTTTGCGAATGGTTAGATCAACAGTATCCCACCCCTACCCCCATTAACAGTTTCCCCAGAGCCCTTGATTKCTGAGCTAGACCTAATCATAGTGCCTCATTACCTAGCACACAGACTGGTTCTCAGAAGAACAGGTGTCTAAAACTACAACAGTGAGACACTCTATCTGGGAGTTTTCACACTGGAAAGAAAGAACTGTTTTCTCTTCTTGAGAGAGATRGGATGTGGACAGGCATTGCTTGTAGTGGACACTTTTCTTGTGTTACAGAGAAACAAGGACAAGACCTGTCTGGGGTGGGAAGAAGAAAGAGGTCTTTGAATTCCTGTATTCCTAAGGCTAGCTCCATCCATACCTTTCTATGATTTGGCTACATAAACTTTCAGGTTCCCCTTATCCCTAGTTTTGGTATCTGTCACTTGAAACTAAAAACAAAACAAAAAAACCTTGATTCGTACACAGGATGTCAGTGTAGAGAAGTCAGGGTAGGATTAGTTAAGAGTTACATGTTTTCAGATACAACAKATAATATAACAAAAAAGTTGAAGATAAAGGTTGAGTATCCATCATCCAAAATGCTTAGACCAGACGTATTTCAGACTTTAAATTTTTTCAGATGTTGGAACATTTGCATAGGCATAATAGGATATCTTGAGGGGGSACTCTAGTCTAAACATGGAATTTGTTCTCTATACACTAATCACATAGACTAAAGGTAAATTTATACGGTGTTTTAAAGTTTTGTGTATGACATGAACCAAATTTARTGGTATGGAATTTTCCTTTTTGTGGTATCATGTTGGTGCTCAAAAAGGTCCGAATTTTGGAGCATATCAAATTTCAGAGTATTTTGGATTTGGAATTTTTAGATTAGATATGCTCAACCTGTGTTAACAGAACTGCTTGAAGTGATAGATCATATGGTGCATCATGGAGTCTAGGTTGACCACTGGGTAGGAGGTAAAGAGCAGACGTGGGCACTTGGTTTCTAACTGGGCTGGGCATAAAAGCATAGAACTTGTGAGCTAGGTCTGGAAGTTTTAACTGCTTTTGTAAACCATCTTCCTTTTATGAAGAAAACTAATGGCTCATGATAAAACACTACAGAGAATCAGGAAAATACCTTTCTGATTTTGTAATTATAAAGGATCGGGTAGCATCTACCTTTTTAGATTTGGCATGCTACAATAAAAAAAAAATATTATAAACCCAGGGTGAGAACTTGACCTACAAGTCTGATGAGAGGTCTGTTGAATTTAATGAGTGACTTTATCATGAGACTTTTGTTGAGTTCCATTTCTTGTAAAGCAAATACCCTCAAGTGCAAAACAATTTGAAAAGACTGTTGGAAGGAAGAATTGAATGTATTAGAAAATCTTTAGATGCTCAGATATAATTTTCCAACTATCTACCTTTATAATCAGCTTTAAAAAGATCTTTGCCACCTGGTGAATTACTCTGCGCAATATTGAGTATGCTAGGAGATAAAGAGCCTTCAGTGATCTTTCTCTTTTCAATTGCAGTTTCCCAGCCCACTATTACTGGTGGGTTCAAAATGGCTCAGACAAGTAATAGAATCCATTTAAAAGGCATTTGTCCAGCAAAATCCTGAGGCACTCTGCACCTCCTAAGTGTTGATCTTCAGGCGACATGAACTATATCATAGGCTTTTGGAGTCCTTTAGTAAATTTCGAGTTTTTCAAACAGAACATCTAATTTATAGTGTGTTATTTGCACTTTAATTTATCCTTTGTTTTAATTTGCAGTTCTCTCATTGACTGAAGACATACTTTACCATGTCCTAATAAGGATAAAATGTGTCCTGATTAGTATTCACTATCACATTAGTCAGTAAACTATTATGCCATACTGGAGAACTTCCACATTACCTGTCAAAATAGTGTTTAAGGATACATGTTTTGAGTCTTAAGTAATAGAAAATATATAACTTTTTTACATTTGTACTAGATTTAGAAGTGTTTTGATGAAAAAGGAATTCAATACTTACRTGCAGTCTTTCTGCACGCAGACACTGGGATGAGACATATTAAGAGGGAGAAGATAGGAATTCAAGGCATTTCTACCACTGCTCTGCTGGTAGGCAGCTTCTGAATCCTGCCTTTCCTTGTGTAAAAGAGGATCTGTATGGCATCTAATTCCTTCTTTTTTTCCTAATTCAAAGTCTTTGCAAAACCTTCAAGCTGTAATAGGTCCAAGTCCTTTGAGGAAAAAAATGTTCCAATGTAATAATAATATTATACATAAAGTTCTTTCAGTTTAATTTGCTGTTGTGGTTTTATATCTTAGAAATATACTTGTTTTATCTTTGTAATATCTCATTCAAAATTTAAWGCATTTTTTCCAAGTAGTCGTTGTAATGGAATAAGTTGATTTATAAGGATTTTATATGTAATGCTGGGGCTAGGAGAATCGGGGAAGCAGTCTTAGGCTGACTTGACTGTGTTCTTATTGTTACCAAGACCCTAGGAAGCTTTCTGTTCCCTCCACCACCACACACGGGAACCAGTATAATACTTCACTGTAAAGCAGAATTATGACATTAGAACAATAAGAACTGCTTAAGTCATTGGTATAGAAATACATTTCCATATCTGGCTTCAGCCCCCTTCCATGCATCTAGATTCCATGAAGTCTTCCATCGGTAAAAAAGAACCTGAGTACCACCAATATTTGTCCAAATTAATGAAACTGTAAGGCATATTTTGAATGAGTTTAATTTTAATCACATCTAATTTTACTTTATAATACATAGGGTTGTCTTATTTTTTTTWAAAAAAWAWATATATTTAGTTGTAGTTGGACACAATACCTTTATTTTTATGTGACGCTGAGGATTGAACCCAGGGCGCCTCGCACATGTAGGCGAGCGCTCTACTGCTGAGCCACAACCCTAGCCAGGTAGACTTTATTTATAAAAGACATTTTTCTAGTTGTGAAAGTGTTTCATAAAACTCTGCTCACTTTGCACTTGTTTGCCCCACTTATTTCTTCCTCACCTTCCCAGAGCGTTGGCAAGGGCTCCAGGCCCTCCTGTTCAGATGGTCAGATTGGGAAGGTGTGAACGAGTTACTTGCAGACTCAGTAAAGCTTTGGTCATGTGCTGAATTCAGAATATGGAACAGAAGGAAAACAATAATTCAATCTTATTTTTTCTCTTTACAGGCTCTGTACAACTCAATCAAGAATGAGAAGCTGGAATGGGCAGTGTAAGTATGCTGGATGGATGTCAACCTTTTAATAATGAACAACTCCCTTTATTTCCTACTTTCTGTCTTCATGCCTTGGAGGTGATTTCAGAGGGGCATTAAATATGTATTGTCAGCTCTTACTTTACACTAAGTGTCTTAACTACTTGTGTAAAACCTTAGTGAACAATGAGTGTGGATTTTTCTTGTTTGTTTTTCCTCTTGGCATGCAGAATGCTTTTGCTTTAATCTGGTTGCTCTGTAAACAGTTTTATTTACGTGTATGTACATGCAACACATATACATACTTTTTTTTTTTTTTTTTTTTTTTTGCAGTCCCGGGAATTGAACCCAGGGCCTGGCACATACTAGGCAGGTACTCTACCACTAAGCTATATTCCCAGCCTCAATTCATTGTATTGTTAATGTGTCCTTTAAAAATAGCATTCTGAAAAAAAATTTGATAGAGTTGTATTTATTTCAAAACCCAATACACATGAGTTGGGTAGCACTACTCAATTTTAGTTCTCTCCTTCCTATCATCATAAATCAAACCTTTCTAATCCTATTTTCTATGAAGCTATCATACAAGGACATGGATAGATATTAACCATAAAAAGAAAAGCAGTCTCTGGATAGATAAGCTTGAGAAACTATGAACTAAATAAAGGTAAAAAATTTTTTAGCTTAAAACCTTTCAGGAGGCTTATACAGTGCCTTTGTATATTATCAAGAGAAATGAAGTTTCTATGTTTCCTGAATCTATTTGATAGTAAAATTGTAGTGTTTCAAGGTACCCATTTTGGAAAATAGTACCACAGTAAGTTAGCTTTACATAAATTGACAATACTGCTTTTTAAAAATATTTTTTAGACGTTGATGGACTTTTATTCGTTTATTTATATGTGGTGCTGAGAATCGAACCCAGTGCCTCACACATGCTAGCCAGGCACTTTACCTTTGAGCCACAACTCTAGCCCAGACAATACCTCTCTTTTTAAATTTTCACTAATCAATACAACAGTTGAAAAAATATATTTAAAAATTGTTATGAAAGAATCTTCACTAAATATTTGATCAAGTATTGAGATATTATGTCAAAATATGTTTTAATATGAGCTTAATGCAAATTTTATTTTTTATTTTCACTAATGGAGAGTGTGTGTGTGTGTGTATGTATGTATATGTATGTGTGTGATTTTTTTTTTTTAAACCAAGTGACTTAGCAATCTATAGTGAAGTCAGCTTTATAGAATCCTAACTTGGAAGATGAATCTTGTTTTTCACATGTACTTTGGGGGAAAGTGGTTTAGCAGATAACTACATCTCATATTTAATATGCTAGGATTAATTTTTTTAAAAAGTAAAGCAGCTCAAATTAAGTTTCTACTAACTGCAAAGTTCTATGGTACTGTTTTAAATTAAGGAGTCAAAGTTTAAGACTTGTATATTTGCATATATATATAATGGCTTATATGTCTGTGTGTTTATACATGATGAGTCTCATTTAAAAACAGTGTGCCATTTCAAGGAAAGCTCAAGACAATTAAGAATCTATGGTACAAAATCCAAGGTAATAATTATTTTGGATTTATGTCTCATAGTTGAATGTAGGTTTCCTAGAAAAAATTTGTGCATGACATATGTAGAATCTTGCTGAAATGCTGAAGGCATATCCTGATCTATGCAGAATATGCTCTCTAGAGAAAATTCATAAAAATGAAGTAATTGTAAATATATTCACACTGGACAAGAGAATATTTTGAGGATGATTTTACAAAATTATTTTACAAAGCAAATATTATGCTCCCGAGAACCTGCTTTCTAAATCTCGTTTTTTTTAACACATCAGATTTGTTTCTATATATATGAATTTTATTCATATATTTATGTGCAGTTGGGACGTGGTGCAAGAAAGTTTTATCTTGGGTCCTCTCCAAGAGGGCGAGAGATGGATGATAGTGTATGCAAGAGCTGAATTCTTCTGTGTCCTTTTGTCAAGTCAGCAGAGCATTTTGTTCAGGAACCCAGGTTTCAGAGTCAGATAAAGTTGAGTTTGAGTTCTAGGTTTGCCATGTACTAGTTGGGTCACAGGCCAAGTAAGCTTCTAGGCCTCAGTTTCCCATTCTGTAAGATGGAGCAGTTTTTGAGCTTCATGTAACCAAAAATGTAGTATAGTCTTTTTTTTTTCTAATCCTCCAATTGATAGTCATAATATCCTACCTAATGCTGTAGCTTTTAAAGCCCCAATTTCTATTTCTTAAATCTCTCATTCATATGCCTGTGCGTGTGTGTGTGTGTGTGTGTGTGTGTGTGTGTATATATATATATATATATATATATATATATATATACACACAACATTCTTATGCTTTTAAAGAATAGAATAAGGCACTGTAGTAGTAAAATAAAGGGATTAGATTAAATGATCACAAGTGTCCTTCCCACTTCCAAAGTTCTGAATTTTACTATACATAACACTTTCCTCAACTGAGGTCCTATGGAAACAGCACTGAAGCATCTGATGGAGATAAAAAAAAAGTCTGTGGTTCAGATGAACATGTTACTGAAAAGCTCAGTGGTCCTTGTCCCCAGTGCCAATCCAATTACAAGGGCGTGATTTTGAAAAAAGACTAAAGAAGCCTTATTGCTTTGCTAACAAAGAAGAAATACAGGGTACTCCTCTCCCAAAGGACCTCTCCAACCACTTTTTCCTCCAACTCATTTTCCACCTAGAACCAATTAATGTTGGTACCAGTGCTTAGATGTGTCTTCTTTCAGTATAGTCTCTTTCTTAACGATCTCATTCATTCTTGAAACTTCATTTGCCATCTCTATAAAAGATCTCCAAGGTAAAAATTCTGATTCTGCTCATCAAGGGAACAGAGGATCTATAAAGCTCTAATAAATAAATTAATATACAAATAGGAGATTCAAAGGGTGCATTCCAAGGGTTTCCTGTCAGGGGAGGTTATGTGTGTGGGGTATTTTACTTGTTAATTTGGGAAATAGTAATTTCTTAGATCTTCTGGAGACATCTTTGAAGTCTAAATTATTTAGTTCCTATGCTGAGTTGTATGCTCAGAGACAGATAACTCTGCCTAGGACAGGCAAAAATGGTAATCCTGTTTCCCCTGAGATTAGGGAGGGGAAGAGAGAGGAAGAGAAAGAACACTTCCATTTTAAAAATAAGCCACATTGGCAGAGCAACAAGGGCTGTTTTCATAGAATAAAGTGGACCACTGCTACAAGCATGGTATGAACAAAAGTTACACAGATTTCTTTTTTTCCAGCTGATTCAGCCTTTAACAATCTGATGTGTATTTTAAATTTTGACCAGAGATGAAGGGCTAGTCCCCCTGCTTTATAAATCACCAGGTCTGCTTTGATCACAAAGCACTTTTTAACATTCACTAAAATTAGTGGTCTCTAGAACACACTTTAGAGGACACTGCTGTTCAGTTTATGTGCTCTTATAGATCAGGAGCTGTGCTTTTTCCTTTTTAAACTTGTATGTGCATGGATATTGTCATAATACTGTGCTCTCCAGTTCTCCTACGACCTTTCCAACCACTCTTCCTCCAACTCATTTTCCACCTAGAACCCATTAATGTTGGTACCAGTGCTTAGACGTGTCTTCTTTCAATATAGTCTTTCTTAATCTCATTCATTCCTGAAACTTCATCTGCCATCTCTATAAAAGATCTCCAAGATAAAAATTCTACTCTGACCACTTCCCCATGTTTCAGTTCAACATATGCATTTTCCATGGGAGACTTCTGCCAGCACTTAGCAGTCATCATCTGTCTCCCACCTTTGCTGTAGGTTCTCCATTCCTGGTAACCACAGAGTAGTGCTTACCTGGATTTTAGCCCTTGTCCTCTTTGATTCCACTTAGTCTTCACTGCTGAAGTGGCTGCACCTCACATCCCTCCTCCTCCTCCTCCTCCTCCTCCTCCTCCTCCTCCTCTAGGGATTTATACTTTTTGCCTGTTAACCCAGTCTCTTTCCTTTAACCCATTTGAAACATCCCCATGTGGTAAACTTCAGTTAGTCCCTGTGCACTTGACCGATAATCTCATTTATTCCTCATTAATGTCTTCATGCTGTTCTCATTTCAACCCGGCTACCATTAGATACAGTTCTCTGTGCTTGTCCTATGGCTTCCTGGTCATTTCCATGAAGTGACCTTTAATTGCCATCTGTATCTGCCCTACCTTACAGCCCAGTTTAGGTAACACCCATTCCTTGAAGTCTTGCCTGATCTTGCCAATTGGAAATCATCTCAATCCTTAAACGTCCATTTTACTTTATTTGATGACACCATAAATTTTACTTCCCATTATAATTCTTTATCATAAGGTATCATCAGACTGTAAGTTTTTTAATTGACACATGTGTATCATTTCCTTAATCTCCTTTGCCTCAGATATGTAATGAAGATCCATGATTGTCTATAGAAAAGATTAGGTGTGTAGCTCAGTGTGTGAGCTGGTTTTAATCCCCAGCATGGGGATTGGGACGAAAGTCCATTTATAATACTCGAGGATTGCATTCTTGAAAGATAAGTCAACAAGTGTATAGTTTAGAATATGGTTACAGGAAAGATGGCGCTGTAGCAAAAATATGTAGGATAAAATGTATTTGCATGGAAAGTATCTTGATGTTGACTTTAGAACCTTTGAGCAAAGTGAATTATAGAGTCATGGAATATTTTAATTAGCGGGACCGTGTAGTGGACTTTAATTCATTGGCTTACTAGCTGGGTTCCGTGGATCCTGGGGATTCCGGGGAAGATGTCTCGGGGTCCTCCCTAGTTGTGAGTAAGGAGAAGGGAAAAGAGGAGAGGGTCCCAGTTCTGCATCCTCCAAATCATGTCTATTTCAACTGACCAACACAGTTCCACTTTTACCTTTTTAAAAATACCTAATTTATGTTTCATTTAATATTAGAAAAGTATTGATCTAATCCAGTGTCCTCATTTCATATGTGAGGAAAAGTGAAATCAAGAAATATTCACC